ATTATTATAGTCACAAACTGTAAGTCTTGAGGGACGAGCAGGGCACAGAGGGAAGTACTCACCCACTGAGGTGACGTAACGATGTGTCTTCAAGGAGGTTGTGTATGATCATTTGCCCTAGTTCCAAAGTATGTATGTTGTATGTGTCCATGACCGATGTATACCAAATAACCTAAACTCGGCTCTTTGTATAAGATTGTTTACACTAAAACTCACTACTACCTACCGTCTTCCAGAGAGGGCACGTAGACCAGTCCTCGTAGGTTCGAAGACGGCAAATGGTGAAGGGACCGAGGACAGATCACTTATTTCGACTGGCGAAACTCTGAAACTGACCTTGCTCCGATGCTGTCGGTGGACTGCCACCCTCTGCCCCCCCACCACCTCTGCGTCTTCTTGGGCAGGAAGGCTGCACCTCACTGAGTAAACTGGGAGAGACAAAAACGAAATGATGAAGGGGAGACAAGAGATATAAGAACGGTCGAAAATTAACGGTTTAGTAAAAGTAAGAAACCAAAGCCCGTACAAGGTTACAACAGTGGAAATGAAAGTGAGGAGGTGGAAAAAGAAAAACCGTCCGCGAACGGAGGACAGGAGGAAGGCTAAGGACGTCGCCGAGTAGGGAGGAGAGAAGGAAGTGGGGACGGGTCGGGAAAAGAAGGAAACAAACAGAACAAAGAGAGTAGTGGGTGGAGACGCGTCATTTCACGTAACTTGTACTCACGACCGGTAGTGTAACAGTTAGTACTTTTGAGGAAAGTTACAATTTTGTGTCTAGTCGCCGGGACACCACGTCGAAACTCTTACGTAAAGTCTGAATCTCGTATGAAATAACAGTAAAGTTGTCTGTCGTCTCACATGTTCGGCCGGAGAAATTCACATCACAAGTCACACAGTCAAAGGTTCTGACTGCACGGGTGGGTTGCCATGTCAAATCTGATCAGCCTCGCATCTTGGTAGACCTTTTAACTAGTTTACAGAGAGTCAAATCCACATATTGGGGATGGGCGTAAACATCTGCAGACACAGGAGATGTCTCTCACATCTGTGGAGCTTAGAAAGCCAGCGTTCTCATACTCGTAAAACCCCCCCTGTGTCCGGCAGGTCAGGCCATAAAACCTAGTATCAAAATACGACTGCATTAACACATTCCTTACGGGAGATTAGAAGCAGGGATGGTCGTAAATGTCAACACACAAGATAAGGTTAAATGTCTAGGAGTAAAGACAGAAATATTCCCTCACAGTATGTATTGCCCTTTAAATATTCACATACTTTCATGAATATACACTCATCTGAAATGATAAGGTATGCCCAGAGAGTTATGTCAGTGTATATGTGACTGTGTTTACAATTCCGCCACTAATCTAATGTCTGATTCCCGGCAGGCGTTCTGCATGACCCCAAGTTGCAGATGCCTTTGTGGCCTATGTTGCCGGACTTACAATAACTTTAAGCACATCAGGAGATGTGGCAGGGGATTTGAGACTGTCCACAAGGTAAATATATATATCATAAAAGTGGCACATAAGTTTCAAAAGATTTATGGAATGGATTTCCACGGTGAGGAAAACAGCAGAGCGGCTTATTTCATCTCATTTCTATTCCGCAGGTGGGAGCGTGGGAGAGAAGGTGAACAAGGTAGGGAAATCAATAAGTGTGCCATAGCTGGAGGAAGCCAGGGGCAACTCTAATAAAGACAGGCAGACAAATAAGGTTTGATTATGAGTTTCTAAATAAAGAAAACAAAGCAGGGTAATGTCGGAGACCAAGATATACATAAATAAAAAGCAAAACAAATGCCGTCTTTGTCCCCATTTTAAATTGGCTACAACTGATTTCCTCCACCTTTTTTATGTTTTCAGAGAGCTGAGAGAGCCAGACCTAATGAAAAAGCTTATATAAATGCAAATTGCATTCTGTCCTATGTTAAACCAGATGACTAATGAAAATTGCCACGGTAGAGAGAAAAGATGGATGGCGTGTAGGTAAAATAGGTCAGATCACTAGATAAATAGAGTTTCATACCGCAGACTCGTCTCCTGTCTGCCAGCCAACAGGTGGGACAAAAGGTTAGACGTGAATAAACAGGAAAGCCACCATATATATACTTTATATTTATTGCCATCTCTGACGTCATGTCTGACATTTTGGTTGCTTTAGAACCTGAGTGTCCCCAGACACTGACGGACAAACACTTAAATGATTGCCAAGGAAAGCCAGCTGCACTCGGTACCTTCAGGACATTATGAAGGAGCAACACTAGACAAGAACCCACATTAGTCATGATGTCACGAGGCTCATTTTAGGTCTAGAAGAGCTGTGTCACGTCCTACCCTTGCAGTTCCGCCTCAGTCTCCTGCCTGACCTAACGTCTCCTCTGGCTGGGCCTATGCGTACGGGCAGGAATAGAAGCCCATTACGCCGCTAAACAGAAAGAACAGCCTCGCTCCATCTTCATCTGGAACCAGACAACAGGGCGAGAGACAGCCCAAAGTACCATTGTCTGTTTCAGCAAGCTGCCCGCCGAGAATACCCAGGGGTGTGTGTGTGTGTGTGTGTGTGTGTGTGTGTGTGTGTGTGTGTGTGTGTGTGTGTGTGTGTGTGTGTGTGTGTGTGTGTGTGTGTGTGTGTGTGTGTGTGTGTGTGTGTATAGAGTGGATAGGTGTGCATCTCATTACACCCCTCTGCCTTGCCTCTGACCTCACATAGCCTCTCCTCAAGTTGGCATAGTGCAATAAGAGAACACATTTGTACAACCAATTTGTCTGAGTTCTGAGAAGGATATTTGGCAGGAGAGCACCTGGGTGGCCTTGAACACAACTCCAAAGTCAATGGTCTGAGCCGAGTAGCTATGACACTTTCATGATATCTTCTGAGCATGCTCTAAAACCTCTCCATTACTCTACCTTCAGTTTCCTCCTCTCCCTCACCACAGGTGTTTCTAACAACTCTCTTTGTCTTCCTTTGGCTCATGTCCAACGCCCACAAACCCTTTCTTTTCTTACATGTCTTATATCTTCTATGAATGAGCTTCTGTCACATCACACTCATGTCGTGTAGCAACTTTCAGATGTATGAAACCAGATACTCTGGTTCCTCTGGATTTCGCTTTGCAAACAAAAAAGTGATTACAGGAGCAAAGTAGCACCTCACTGTTGCTTAAATCCCACGGTTAATGACTTTTACCTTGGTCATGTCCGTGGCAGAGATGAGCCAAGTGCAGTTAGCATTGTTGTCATATTGGACCGGGTAGTTTGGAGACGTGATGACACCACTGGGTCCTTTCAACTGACCTCCACACATCGGTGCTACAAAGGAAAAGAGAGAGAAACAGAGAGAGACAAATGTTTGGTACCAAGCGTAATGCTGTTTGACTGCTGGTCATCATTTAAACCCCTCAGCCTATTACGGTTTCTCATTTCTTTTATTGTTTTTTAAGCCTCGTGCGATATGTGTAATCAATATATATATATATTTATTTTTCTTTCTTCAAATCCTGTAAAATGGAAGCGAACATTTACCAGGTGACTTGGATGGCATCCTAAAGCATTGCCAAATATAATCAATTTAAAATGAACAATGCATTAGTTACATTTCACATTACTTCAGCGTTTCTGACTGAACTGTAAACGAGCATCCCTTTTGAAAGTTGAAGCTGTTTGTCAAGCGCTTGGTGATAATGATAATCTGTCCTTTTTTTAAACTATCATCAAATTATAAACCAAATCAACTGCTGTGCATCCTCTGAGCACTTGATTTGCCAATTTAGCGTGGCAGTGTGAAAAATAGACTGATGAGGGATTAAATCGAGGCCATAAATCACTTAGTTTTCCCACAGGTTTAAAATACGGCAGGTAGTAAACACACCAGGATAATTTATTATAAGAATAAAACAAATAATTTGACATTAGACCGTCTTTACGATCCTCTGCCACTTTTATAATGTTTCAAAATAAATGTGGGCAGTCATTAATATAGTTGGGTTCTTTCCAGAAACACAACTCAAGTAACAGACTCAATATGTTATTTAAAGAGCAGGTAAGCAGTTAGAAAACCAATCTTTGAAGGACACTGTGACTTCTTTATCGAGGCCCGAGGGTGTCTGTTAAATTCCCCTTCAAATTAAAGCAGAATTTTTAATGAGTCCTGTAAGGGAGCTGAAGGAGGTTGTACGTGTATACACATGTGGGGTGTAACCAGAAATTATTTGAAAAGGCCCGGAACAAGCTACCCAATTTTTTAATGAGTTATGTCTAAGAAAGGTCCTTTGGGTGTTCAGGCCCCATTCAGCGGTTCCATGTTCCAGCCCCCTCCCACCAAATCACCCCTATTAAAAAGTAAGAAAGAACTTTAGCGTAGTTAATGGGAAAATAGAGTTATTCATTTGAGTTGTACTGACAGTGAGGGTGACCTTAACCCTTGTGTTGTGTTCGAAAGCTGTTACCGGCTACATTTTGACCCATGATTTATTTCAGTCCAAAAAACTCAAAAATAACGACTATAATCCAATATTGTTTTAACTACATCATCACTAACTTATAATGCATTCATAACCGTACAATCCTGTTGTAATTTTATTTTATGGCCCCAAAACACATTACACCACATATTGCACACGTGCATGTGTGAGTTCAGGTTCAAGTGTTAGTACATATTATTTGTGAAAAGTTGAGTTCCCGTGGGGGGAGGGGGGCACAGGGAGGGGAGACCAGGTGCATGTTGCGAAAAAGTATTGTTACAGTGGATGAAGGGGGAGGGGTGTCTAAAGTCAAAGATGAATCTTGATTGGACCAAATTTGACCCTGAGTCACCCACAACAATGCTGCTGGGTCCTCCCAGACCCGAACACCAAATTATACACTTTTTTTAAGACCTTCAGACTTGGCTAAAATTGTCTAAATCTGTCACGGGAGCCCCGAACACAAAACAAGGGTTAATGAAAATAATACGGCAGAAAAGAACTCCACCAAAGATATCATAACCACTTTTATGTTTTTAGTATTATTCTTTTTTAATCTTGGGGGTCATTGTGCCTGATACAACCCATGACGTTCATAACGGAAATGAATTGCAGGAAGTGTTTCGAGTAAGAAGTATAAACGTAACGTAGCTTTCAAGTCATGGGGAGTTCATTTTTCAGCCTTAACAGCCTGAAGATTTTTCATTTGCAAATGCTAGTGCTCTTCAATTTAATGATGACTAATGCTAATTTAGGACACAGAGATTAAATTATCCCTGGATATTTAATCTTCATTGAGAGGGAACAAAGACGCAGCAACAAAGGTTAAATGTGGATGATGGAATGAGATTTTCTTTAAGGGCAATTTCATTGACATCATTGTGGATGCTATTTCAATCTCGAGTGTTTCTTTCCATAAAACAGAAAACGACTGAATTTGATATTGTTGATTGTACTTTGGGGTATTTTTTTTTTTTAAAGAACAGAAGATAGAATTGTTTTTCTTCAGATTGTTTTGTGCAACAAAACTCAAACATTATTTTCTGAATGGGAGGTTACTGTCCATATCTTATATAAGACGAATCACTACCAATCACCCAACCCCTTTAATCCTTCTCAGATCCTGCCCCGCTCTCCATAGTGCTGTAATTTAATTTTGGCACAATTGGATCAGACTAAGATAAAAGAAAGAATAGAGGAACCTGTGGAATGTTGGATTTTAAGAATGCATTAACTGAAGTGGAGTAACATCCATGAACTATACTGTAGGTGACGTTAAAGGAAATGCTGCAGGTGATTACATTAGACAAACCCCTCAGAGATTAGCCAGTTTAAAAACCCACATGGGGAAACTGTTACAAAATGCCTGACATAGATCTGCTGGGGACAAAGGTCATTATTGGTATGTATATTTGGATTAAAATGAGGTATATAAATTACATCAAATAATCACTTATATATGTCATTTCAAGGCCTTTTTTGGCCACTCTAGGAAAGTTGAAATAAGTTGTGATGGAAAAAGTGACATTATATCACAATTGAAGGTGATATGACTCATTGTTAGCGACTCTTTACACATCCAGCAGTTATAAAGCCACCTTATGATTCATTCTGAGATGGGCTCGTTACATCTGATGAATTTAAGTCCATTATTCACTGTGTTTTAGCGCTCTTTTTTTGTGTCCATCAGCTACTTACACAAAAAGATGTCCCTTTATCTATATTCTCCTCCTTATCTTGACTGGCTAGTCGCTAACTGTGTCTGAATGCTGTGTGGTTCTGAGTAAGAAGTGCACAATGTGTTTTTGAAACAGTTTTACTGAAAAAAGCGGCCAAAGCTTCCAAAAAGCGATTATAAAAAAGCAGATGAAAGATACTTAATTTGACTATATTTCTCTGCCTTATTTCTTTCAGATTAATACTTTCTATTGAACTGAAACCAAAAGAATCCCCACCAGAAGACAATGCATAAAAAACTCTTTGATTTGCATTTTGTAGTCTACAAAAATGAAATATTAAAGTAGGGACCAGTATGCTGAATTTATCTTATTAACTGGATTTGTTGGGTACAGAATTGTAACCTTTTAGCTTTAAGCAAAAACTACCAAGTCAAATATTAAAATGTCTTGCTTCAATGAATACATCTCATGCAGTAGATACCAATCGGTGGAACCAATTATAAGACACAAAAAAGTCAAAAATGCTATCTTCTCTGATTAATTCAGTTCACTGAGGCTGAAAACTGAAACGGAGGAGCAGATGAGCATCAGGGAGAGCGTACAGGGAACCCGACCGTCATCCTGCCTGTCACAACATGGTCAGAAGTGAGGAGGACATGAATGATAGGCAGCGCTGCGTCGGCATGGCTAAACAGCAGGCAGAAAAACAATGCTGGCCAAAGGTCAAAGTCAGGGCAGTCACAACAAAACGGATAATCAAAAAAAGGAAACATGTACATGGACTGTGCGTATCCATAAAGTGACCGCACACTCACAAGTATCATGACACCTATGGAGGTCACATTTACACCGCAAGAGTATACATACATGACAACCTACTCTCTTATCTACGATCTTAAGTGGTTTGTGTGTGTGTGTGTGTGTGTGTGTGTGTGTGTGTGTGTGTGTGTGTGTGTGTGTGTGTGTGTGTTTGACTATCTGCCACTATCTGTTCCTCTGATCGACAGGAGGTTCTCTCTCAAGTTTGATCAGGATTGTTTTTTACATTTTAAAATACACCGACATGTTTCAGATAAATACGGTGAGAGTGATTTAAAGACATGAAGCAGTTTAAAACACAATCACAGGTCTTCAACCTTTACACATATATACTATTCATTTATTTTACATCTATAAATATTAAGTCTAAGTATTTACATCTAGGTAAGGTGTTACCAAAGTGTGTGTGTGTCATTCTGCGAAAATAGGCATGTGGGTGGAGGGTAGGGTGGGTTTGTTTTGCAAGTTTCAGTGTGGATGATATATTATTTAATGACAACCATTTTTAATCAACTTTGTTGTTCTTTAATGTATTTATCTTTTTTTTTATACTGTATATATTTTTATTTTTTGGTTTTACCTCATTTAATTTGTATTTGAAGCAAGTATATTTTTGGTTGAAAATGTGCATGTGATGTTATTTTTTTTTAAAGAGCGACCTACGTCTCATCAGTCCTTACCTCTGCATATAGGCCGGTCGTCACTCCATCCCACGTAGCTGTCTGTGACTCGGAGACAGCTGATGCTCTTTGAGCCTTGCAGTTCATAACCCTCGTCGCAGGAGAAATGCACCGTGGATCCTCGCCTGCAGTTAGATTGCATACCGAGAAAACACGTCAGCATTTCCTCTGAAAAACCCCTCTACCAGTGGGACAGCATATAAGATTAAAGAACCAAGAAGAAATGTTCACTGCTAAAAAAAACTATATTTTCTTAGACTTTCCAGGTGTCATTTCAGAAAGTGCTGCATTGTGGGAGTTGGGTGTATCCCATTTGTCTGTGTTACAGCTGACCACTGAAAGAGACAATAGTGGTGACAGGAATGAAACTCTATAATCCCAATGGCAATATCGCCGTCCCACAGAGGCAGCCTATTAGTGTGCAGAGGCTCAAATGGTAAGGTATCTGTTATACTGTACACTTCTCTATTGGTTTCGGTTGCAGCGGCTTTATGGGGCATGACTTCGGGTAATCGGCTGAATGCCAGAGCACATTTCAAGATGCAGTCCCTGATTGGTAATAGCTCCCAATAGTTTCCTCCAAGCTTACTGTTGATTCAATCTTAAATGTGAACAAAGCTAAGATCATCAGTACTGCACTGGGAGATGTTTTGGGAATTAATTTGGGACTGGATGTAAAAAGGCAGAGTCTTAATATTTCTGAAATATATATTTGTTTTTGTGTAGCATAATGGACTAAAGTACAACTGGATTATGTTGTGCAACCTGGTTTTGCATAATGATAATTGCATACTTAAATGAATTGACTTGTGGAGGTTGTCCCAATATTAGAACAGTACATTTAAAACATTTGAAAAGTATTAAACAACTTTTACTACCAAGAGACATTGGAAGTGAAAGTAATTAAAACTCAGATATTATTTAATTCAAATAAAAGAGAACCAAATGGGGAGAGAAATAGTCTATTTAATTAAAAAAAGAAAATCTTTTTCACAGCACACTTCCCCAGAACACCCTTATACATCTTGTTAAATAGACCTTGAGAATTCAATTAGAAAATGTTATTTAAATATACATATGGGCTGAATTGTGACAAAGGGCCAATTCAAAAACTGAAAATGAGGCTAATTAATGCAATATCCACATTAAATACAGACAGAAAATACCTTTGCTTTCAATTTATACTGTAAAGCTCTAGATCAGGGGCGTCAAACTCAATTCCATCGCGGGCCACATCAGCATTATGGTTGCACTCAAAGTGCAGGTTGTAACTTTAAGACTATATACAAATACATATATAAATATTTAATATATATAAACTTATGTATTATTTAAGCAATAGCTCACGACAGGCCGTGGTATATGCTCATTATATCACAGCTAAGGGGCGTGGTTCGGCCCGACGCGAAGCGGAGGGTCGACAACCCCCTTAGCTGTGATATAGTGNGAAGTACTCAGATCTTGTTCTTGATTAAAAGTATAAGTACTCAGGT